CCCCGCCCTGTCCGGCCTTCTAAATTCAATTTGGCCTGTCCTTGCCCCTGGGTTTTCTAGCCCTTCCTTTGGGTGCCCATCCCAGGGACGTACTGGGAGCAACTTGCAAAACAATAGTGGTCCTATTTTCAAAAGCGTTTAATTGAGGTACATTGCATTATAGCAACGTGCGGAAGGCACCTAGGGGTCACGTATTTACTCGTATGCCACGCCCTTCCATCACCACCTGTATAGGTCCGTGGAACACCTCTAGTATTCGAAAATGCTTGTGCCTTCCTTTCTGTCTTTAGTGGACCCCAAATACAGTACTTTGTGTTATTTCCCAGTAAAGGTGGTTGTATGTTCCTCCAGCACCCCGTCTGGTTATGGTTTTTTAGCAGATGCACAGGAGGTATAGCTATGTATACACTATGGGGTTTTAATCACAGTGGGGTGTAAGTATGAAGTTTCATGACTAGATCAGTAGAGAGCTGTGGCCTGGTACCTTAGTGTTATAATTCACATGCTACGGAAACTGCTTTAATTCGATATAAAATGTATATATAGCTAACATAGGTAACAAAATAATGGATATTTTCCCGAGATCAGTCCAACATCATTTTTGTTCAGCATTATTCTAGAAGACCCGTCCAGACTTCTGCAAATGAGAGGATTGTATACATGGGCAGTACAAAATAATTTTTTTTTTGGCACCGGGGATTGAACTTGAGACCTTGAGCAAGCAAGACAGGCGGCAGAGCCACTGAGCTAAATCCCTGGCCCCAGAGATGTTTGTTCATAACAGCTTTATTCCTAATTGCCAAAGCGTGGGGCAAAAACAAGATGTCCTTCCAACAGGTGATGGGTGAACACTGGTGCATCCTTCAGTAGAACACTGTTTGGCCCTTGATTCATGTGAAAACAGATGTCCTAATTGCCTTTTGTCAGATGAAAGCATCCAGGTCATGGGGCCACATACCCCATGATACCATTTATGAGACATTCTGAAAAAGGGGTAACTACAGGGACAGAGAACCAATCAGTGCTTGCCAGGGGTGCAGAGGATTGGTGGGTCACAAAGCATAGTTGTGCCAATGGAACTGCTACAGTGGTTTTATGTATTTATTTAGCGGTACTGGGAATCAAACCCAGGGCCTCAGGCATGCTAAGGAGGAGCTCTACCATTGGGCCACACATCCCTAACCTTTTTTTCTCTGATGATTTTATCAAACCCAGTGTAGCCCACAGCTTTTGCTTACAGGTGAGCAGGCAAGCAGACTGGGGAGCAGGTGGGGGAGCAGCTTCCCTTGGAAAGCTGCTTGGTGGTAATCCCCCCTACGTACGCACACACACCCCGCACACACACCCCACACACGTTTCCAGTGAGAAGCCAAGACAGAGGAGGTCAGAAAAGGTTGGAGTACAGGACAAGTGAGATGGGGCAGCTCAAGTCCCAGTGTATCAATGAGAACCCTGCTGTCTGTAACAAGAAGATACTTCCCTTGTGGTTGGGGGCTACCTGGTGTAACCGTACTTTTACAAACAGGAGACCAAGTCTTAGAGGGGAGCTGATCACTCAAAATCCTATGACTGGTATTTTAGTAATCTTCGGGTTAATGAACCACTTCAAGACAGGGTCAAAGGCCAGTGCTATTTTATTAGCTGGTGTTTCTGTGATCAGGGGCCTGGGTGAGGATCAAGGATTACTTGCCTGTGTCCCTCATGCCTGCAGCAGTGTTTCTGGGGTGCATCTTGCTGTTTTTGAGGTCCTCAGGCCATGTGCAAGTCCCATGTGCTAGTATCTGGTGGTTCCAGAGTTGGGAAGATACATCTGGTGGGGCTACATCTGGTGTCCATGCAGCTCACATGTGGCCCTTGGTTTTGCTCCCAGCCTGGTGACCTCAGTGTAATCAAACCTCTGTATTGGGAGCTTCCTCCCATTGGGGTACACAGAAACAGGAACCCCTGGGTGCAGGGCTAACTGGTGGCTCAGGGCCCTGGGATTTGTCATTTTGTCAAGAGCCAAAATTAGTAGACCTGTTGCAGTTAAAGGAGACCCCATCCCTGTGTAGTGTCTTTCTAGGGTCTCAGGAGAGGAAGCCCTGGGGAGAGAAGACTAGGGTTTAGGATAAGTGAAGACCCAAACTACCCACCTGGAGTGGCTTCTGTCCAAGTGAATATGACTTCAGTTTCATTTGCATAATTTCTTTTCTTTTCCCCTCCCCTCCCCTTCCTTCCTTCCTTCCTTCCTTCCTTCCTTCCTTCCTTCCTTCCTTCCTTCTTTCCTCTTCCTCTCTTTTGTTCTTTTTCTTCCCTCCCCTCCCCTCTCCTCTCCTTCCCTCCCCTCCCCTGCCCACTTCCCTTCCTTTTTTGTACCAGGGATCAAACTCAGGACCTTGTGTTTGCAAGGAAGGTATGGCTTCACTAAATGCCCAGCCCCATCAGCTGTTTCTTTAAGAGCCTCCATAGTTTACACTCAATCCTTGGCCTTCAGCCCCTCTCTTTGTGGGATCCATTTAACCAATTATGTCAAGATAGCACCTTCCGTAGACAGGAGTGTCCCCACTTTGCCCTCTCTCTGAGGTAGGACAGAAGCTCTGGTGGGTGAACACGGGACCCAGCTCTGTCTTTCCCACAGCTGCTGAATGTGAATTGGTTGGTGTGGGTGGTTTTATGGCAGAACAAACTCTAATCAGACCGGGACTTGTTTTGGAAGTGTGCAGTCTTCAACAGAGGCAGGTTATTTCCTAAAGCAGGATGGTAAAGTTTGCTTTTCATATACTTGGGAATTTGAGAATCTTGGTTCTGCTGGTGGGGGCTGAGTTAGAAGTAAGTCTTCCATACCTGGCCCCTAGTGCTATTGGGGGTGTCTTCGTGACTGGCAGTTCAGGTTTCAGTCCTGGGCTAGGCACTTGTGCTATAAGTGTTTCTAAGGCACCTGTAAAGCAATCTTTACCTGGCCAGGAAGACCACCTCAGCCTCATTCTCATGGAATGTACCACACAGCAGTGGCTCGGTAGAAATGATTTTATTTATAAATCTGTACCATGTGACATCAGGATGACATGCAAACAGTGCCGAAGCCAAAGCCTGGTCACTTTCCCATGAAATAAGTTGTTGCCATTGAAATGTTGATTGGTGCTAGATACCATCTGTGTGAAATACAAAATCTGGAAGCATAGGCATTCATCAGCAGAATGTAATCTTCATAGAAAAGCCTCAAAACAGTGAGTCACATATGCACAGTGGGGACAAGTTCCTCTTATGTCCAAGTCAGCAGGTGCCTCCATTGAGTGCATGTGGGAAAACAGCTCTTGGCATTAAAAAGTCAACATTTTGTCACAAGTCACAGCCTTCCTAGAAATACCACTAGCTGTTTCACTAAGGAAACATGAATTCTAAACCATAGAACAACCTTGGGTCTGGTGGCAGGCAGTGCCCGGAATGGTACCAGGCATCTGAGAAGTCTGGTGTCTAGTGTAGGGCTCTGACCAGCCATGCCCTGTTTCATTACCAGCCTCCTGGCCACCATCACTGAGTCAATTTTAACACCAGCTGTTGGAGACCATGAACTCAGGGAAGGGCTTGGTACAACTGAGGCTGCAGACTTCACATCCTGGTCTGACAAAGTGCTAAGTGGTGGTGCACAGCGGATGGGTGCGCGCATGCATGGCTGCTGAACACAGGCAGGCAGTCCTGCAGCCCCCAGGCCTTGGGGCAGGTGGAGGGACACTCTCAGGGTCCGTGGATGGTGCCCCTGCTCGTAAGTGTCCAGTGTCCTTTTCCAGGGAGTACAGCCTTTGGCAGGGTGCCTGTGTCACTGCAGTTTTCCTAAGCTGGGGGTGAGTGGAGGGCACAGGAAGGAGCAGCTGCTGCAGAAATGAGGCAGAGGCTGCTTCTAACTGGCTTGGCAGCTGGATGTGGGATAGTGGAAGTCTCTTACAGGGAGGACTGAGGGCGGATGGAAGTGCGAACCCATCAGGGCCAGCTCATCCAGAAGCTTTGGGCCCCTGTGGAAGGTTTTAGAAGTCTTGGAGCCCATGGGTTCAGCTGAGTTTTTGGTCCTCTGTTAAGCAAACGTGGAAACACTGTTCAGCTAGTGTTACACGCTTAGCTTACCTAAGTCTGGGATTGTTATTTCTTTTTTTGGAGGGATACTGGGGATCAAACTTAGGGCCTTGCACTTGTGAGGCAGGTGGCGGAACCACTGAGCTAATCCCCAGCCCACCTTACCTAAGTTTGGAATCTTTTTAGTCAATGAATGGGTTTTGGGTGTTTTTTGTGGGGGGAGGGGATCACAACAAGAATGGGATGAAAGTCATTCGTCTAGGAGAGATAGGTACAAAGACTGGAGAAAATTTACTTATTCTATTTGCCTTTTTTTTTGAGACAGGGTCTCACTATGTAGTTCAGGCAGGCCTTGAACTCACAGCAATTCTTCTGCCTCAGTCTCTGGAGTGCTGGGATTACAGCCATGAGCCATGTGTCACCATATTTGGCTTTCTATTGTCATTTTTAAATTTAATTTTTAAATTCTTGCAGAAACAGGACCACCAAAGTCTCGTGCCCATCCTGCCCATGTCCTGGGAAGGGCCGGTTCTGCGCGCTGGGTCGGTGTGGGAGCTGGCTTTGTCCTCCTTGGGGAGTGGCCGTGGGTGAGTCCCTCTAAGCCTCCACCTCTTGATCTGGGGAGTGGGGACTGGTGGAAACCTACATTGCTCAGGGCTCCGTGCAGAGCAGCCTCAAACAGGTGGCCCTGGAGCAGCTCTGGCTCCACAGCTGCTTCCTGCAGGTCTGGTTCCCCTCGGACCTCCCACACTCAGTGACATCCTCACTACTGGAATGTGGCTTTCATCCTCCGTAGTTTGTCCTGGATCTTCCGGGAATGCTTCTCACTTGGGATCTGGTGGAAGTTGGCCCGGTTGTCTGCTGCTAAGATGGAAATGTCAGCCCCGCTGAAGCGAGCGATCCTTTGCTTGAGGTGCGCCTGCAGCTTGGGGTCAGGGCTGAACGTGTAGGGGTTCTCCTGGAATGCGTGGACCTGGCTCACCACCTTGGCTATATTTCTTTTGTGGGGAAAGAAGAAATGTTAAGTTTGTACAAATCACAGAAGCTTTGTTCTGTGGCCAGTGAATCCTCGTGTGTTCTTAAGAACTGGTCAAACCAAACCCTTTTTTAAGTACAGAAACCAAAGGGCAGGTTTTCTGCCTTTGTTCTCAAGGAGAACCCTCCTGTTGTGATGAGCCTGTCTGCCCATCTGCCCACGCTTCAAACGTGTTTACTGAATCTTCTGTGTCAGTTCTCCTTGAGCTGAGGGTTCCAATATGGATAAAACTCAGTGCTGGCTCTACCACCCCATGCCACAGTACAGCCTCCAGCATTTACAATCCAGTGAGTTCCGGGCACTGAACTGGGGCTCATTCCCCTGGAGAATTGGTTGTACACAGTGGCCACATGCCATTAGGGTAAACCAGGAAAATGGAGGACTCAGAGATCTTACTCCTGCCTGACTCTGCAGACAGGCTCTCCCACCTAAGTCTGGATGAAGAATCAGTATGTCTAGTATGAATTATGTCACTTTTGTTTATTAAGGGACAGCCAAGTCCACACAGAGTCAAGAAGAGCAGATGTCAGCTCTCCACCCATGCTCTTTACAGATGGTGACATTACCTCTCATTTTAATTTCCTAGTTGAGGCATAGGTTTTTTCTCTTTAAATTAATAAATGTGCATTTTTGTGTGCATACATATTAATTTTTCTTTTTTTTCTTTTTTTTTTGGTACTAGGGGTTGAACTCAGGACCTTGTGGTTACAAGGCAGGCAGCAGAACCACTGAGCTAAATCCCTGGCCCCATGTTAATTATTCTTTTAAATTGATGACTATCTAAAAGGGAAGCAGAGCTTGAGTCTGGCACCTTAGACCACTTGGCCATCCTGACACTATATGACTATCTGAAAGGGAATACTGCATGGAGAGTTTAGGATGCACTGCACATTGGGTACTCTGTGCCTCTGCCTACCTGGTGAGGCTGAGGCTTGAACAGGTTGCATTTGGATGCTGTATGGACAATGGAAAGGAAGGGCTGAAGAGTGGGAGGTGGTCATGGGGGCAAGGGGAGCAAGGAGAAGGTGAGGTTGATCTGGGAGACTTAAGACACAACCTTGGACAGGGCTGGGCCTTCAAGGAGATGCTGACCTGGCTAGGACCACTTGAGACAGAAATGAGAATCAGGCTTCTCTGAGGCCTGTGAGGTGCACAGGCCCATAAAACCAGCCTAGGTCTGCCTTCCAGGCAGTGGGTGGCAGGGTCCCAGATGTATTCAGCAGATGAACAGAGGGACTCAGGAATGGGCTGAGGACTAACCACGGGTCCTATGTAGATGGCTCTGGGAAGAAGAACCCAAAGGGAAGAAAGAGATCAGGAAAACCCAGGGTCCCAGGGTGGCAGGTAGGTCATACTCTGGGCAGCTTCAATGCATATAACAATGAATAGGAAGATGTGCCTGGATCCCAAACATGGAGGTCACCAGCAACCACAGCAGTGGGAGGTTGGGACAGTGGACACTAGAAGAAAATATGCCACATTTTTGGAGGAGTAGCTAGAGCTGACCCTGGCATAGGGAGTGTTGGAGCTCGGGATGGGTGAGGGATAAGCCAGGGATTCTGAGGTGTGGCAGGGACTAGAAGAGGCCAGTGCCTAAGCCTGCTACATCTGTAGGCTCTTCTGGTCAAGTGGAGCCTCCCTCACCTGAGCTTGCTCCATCTGTGGGCTCCGTTGGTCATGGTAAAGCCCCCTGTCTCTAGCTGCTGGATGTGCATGGCCAGGAGGTGGGCAGAGGGCAGGGTGGGCTGGGCCCGGAAGCGCCGTCCTTCCATCAGACTTAGGCTGTCGCTTTTCAGGAAGACCTGGCCACCCAGGTAGGGGTGTGGGCAGAGAGAGACAGAGGAGTGGTCAGCCAAGATGCTTGGATGGATTGGTTCAACCATCCAGTTCCCAAGGGTGCCTGTACTCTGGGTGCATGGGGGGGCTGCACAGCAACCTAAAAATGCAGTCCAAAATGAACCTGGGGTCCTAGACTGTGGGTTGAAAGCCTAGACATCTTACGCTTATCAGCACAAAACATGACACTGATAGAGAAAGCTTTACGCTTCATGTTGTTCAAATGGCAAGTTGCTTATTCTCATCTGGGCTCCAGAAAAGAGTTAGTGATCTGACCTTTCCAAACTGGCTACTACAGGCCCCTGTAGTGTCTCTGTATGTGGGACTGGGGGTGAAGTTGGGGGAGGAATAATGACCAGCCTCCTCTGCACCCCACTCCCCCCATTGGTGCCTTGGTGTGAGGCTGGGCTCAGGTACAGGTTGTGGTTGCTGGGGGCATTTGCCATAGGCCAACAACAACAGTAGCAAGGCACCTCCTGTCTCACTGTGAGAAATTCCTGATCACTTCAGCAGCATTTCCTTATCTCATGAGGCTCCGTCTGTGCTAGGAGCAGGCCTCCTGCTTAGCCAAGGTCACACCCTGAGCTGCAGACCTGGGTCCCAGCCTGGGTGCACTTATATAGCCTGTGCTGGGAAGTCAGACCAGCCTGGTCATGTGGCCTGGAAGGGTGGGCACCTCTGCTCAGGTGGCTGGGCTGTGCAATGTATTTGTGGTTCTATGATCCAGGTGCTGCTGTGTGAGTACCCTAAGCTGTGCAGAGCAAGTCTTTCTGGGGTAGCTCTGCAAAAAGCTGGTACCTCCACGGCTTTTAGCTCCTCCATGACCTCTGCGATCTTTGCAGGCAGGATTCTCCAGGCCTGAAATGGAAGCACAGGTCAGATCCCTGCTGGCCCACGTGCTAAGCCTGCACCCACGGCTCAAGGACCCCGGGTGGACTCACAGGGGACTGCCTCACGGCCAAGTGCTCCAGTCCGCCCAGGATTTGCATGGCTGTCGCAAAGTTCCTCTGCTCATAGCAAGATTTTGCAATTAGCAGAAACTTAGAGAGCAAGTTCACCTGCAACTGAAATGAGAAAAATCATAGATTCAGTGTCTTTAAAGATGAACAAAGCCGGGGGTGGTGGCGCACGCCCATAATCCCAGCACTCGGGAGGCTGAGGCAGGAGGATCACTGTGAGTTTGAGACCAGCCTGGGCTACATAGTGAGTTCCAGGTCAGTCTCAACTATATAGTGAGACCCTGTCTCAAAAAACAAACAAAAAATGGTGAACGAACAGCTCACTGGTAGAGCACTTGCCTAGGATACATGAGGCCCTGGGTGTGCTCTCCAGCACTGCTAAAAAAACAGAAAACAAAACAGACAAACACAATGTTTGACCTGTTACCCTATCTTCAAGGCACAGAATGATGCATCCACATGATTTGTGTGAAAAGGAGGAGAGTAGGTGGATGCAGGTCTCTGAGTGGTGCCCATGGGATTGGCATACCTGAAACAGCAAAATCTGCCACTACAATCCTCAACAGGTCCCACCTGGAGTGGGGCAAGTGGGAGGGAGCACTGCTTCTGGACGAGGGATAGAGACCCCTACCTGGGGAAGATGGCACTATTGCATCTACAGGCAAAGGAAATAAACAGACAGCTCTTTACATCCACCTGCTGAGTTCACAGCAGGAAGGGATCCTGCATAGTTCAGTGCCTTAAAACCCTCTGCCTACAGTGACACACGTGCCTGTTTGACCAGAATACCCATGGGGAGCAGATGAGATTCTAATTTCTTTTCAGAAGAGTCCCCGGGGGCTATATTCATGGACCTGGGTCCTGCCCTGTGGGCACCTATAACCTAGAAGACCTCAGCAGAGCTCTGGAGAATTCAGCTGACCCCGCACTTCTGAGCTGCCTCACCCTTGGCACCATGGTCCTCCAGGTGGGACGGACTGCAGGCTCCAGCAGATACCTTCCACTGAGCTTGATCATGTCTGCCCTGGTCCTGTCGAAGCTGAGGGTCACCCGGAGGGCTCCGGGAGGTCAGTCATTTTGAGCCTATTGAGGTATACTCACTTGCTCACACTTTTTAAATCAACATCCCCATTTTTTCTTCATAGGCTTAACTAGATGCAAAATAATAATTTCCAGCACTTTTCTCTTCTTCCTCTCTCCTACTTTTTTTGCATTACTGAGGACTGAACCCAGGACTTCCGCACTGAGCTATATCCCCAGCCTTTTTCATTTTTTATTTTGAAACGAAGTTTTGATAAATTGCTCAGGACTTATGATCCTTCTGCCTCAGCCTCTCAGAGTGCATTCCTGCACTTTTCAGATAAAACTTTCCCACAACTTTTTTTGTGTTTAAGTTTTAAAATTTTAATTGTAAAATAACACATTGTGTAAGATGTATCCTCTTAAGCATTTTTAGGTACAATCTTGTGGCATGAAGCAGAGTCACGTGGTTGTGTCATAGGTCTCTGGAGGGTTTAAGTCTTGCAAAACTGAAGCTCTGTGCCATTAACAAACCCCCTTCCTTCCTCTAACTGCACCACGCAGCCCTCATGTATTTTGTGTTTCTGTGGGTTTAGCTATGTTAGCTTGTACAATCATACTGTAGAATCAGAGAGTATTTGTCCTTTTGTGTCCAGCCTATTTCTCTTCACTTAAAGTAAGTTTCTGAAGATTCACTCACATTATAGTCAGAATTCCTTTTTCTTTCTTTCTTTCTTTCTTTCTTTCTTTCTTTCTTTCTTTCTTTCTTTCTTTCTTTCTTTCTTTCTTTCTTCTTTTCTTTCTTTCCTTCTTTCTTTTGTATTGAGGATCGAACTCAGGACCTTGCACTTGTGAGGCAGGCGCTGTGTGACTGAGCTAAATCCCTGGCCCTTTGGAAGTCCTTTCTTTTTAAAGGCCAATTAAAAAATAATATTCCTAGATATGTGCAGACCATATTTTCTTCATTTATCTGCCCATAGATATTGAGCTGCTTCTAGCTCTTGGCCAGTGTGCTTATCACTTTTAAATATTTTTAGTGAAATCAAAATTCAAACTTGCTATTATTCATATAAAAAACCCACAAAATTTTCTTCTGTCTCTGTTTTGCAGTTCTGGGGACTCAACAGGACCTTCACGCTTTTTTATTTTTTTATTTTGAGAAAGGTCTCAATACGTTGTTAAATTGCCCTGGTTGGGCTTGAATTTGCAGTCTTCCTGCTTCAGCCTCCCAGAGTGCTGGGATTATAGATGTCTACCACCATGCTCTACCAAATTTTCTTTAAGGTGAGAAATTTAGACCTTTTCTTCTTGTTCTTATCTTTGTACCTTACCTTCCAGAATGTCAACTGAAAAAAGTAGACTGTTTTTCAACGAGAGCTTTGTTGATCCCATTGTGTTCTCTCGCCAAATTGTGTGTGTTTAAAGTTTATTATAGTACGATCATTATTATTTTGCAGTGCTGGAGACTGAGCCCAGGGCCTGGTACACACTAAGCAAGCACTCGATCACTGACCTACATTCCCAAGCTTCTTTAAATTTTTACTTTGTGACAGTCTCACTAAGTTGCCCAGGCTGATCCTCCTGAGTGACTGGGCTTACAAGTGTACACCACCAAGCCTAGCCCAAATTCTGTCTGTCTGTCTGTCTGTATTTATTGTGGTACCAGGGTCGAAGCCAGGGCCTTTGCAATGAGCTACATCCATAGCACCTTTTAAAATTTTTTATTTTGAGACAGGGTCTCACTAAGTTGCTAAACTGCCTAGATTGGTCTTGAACTTGTCCTTTTCCCTCAGCTCCCATAGTGCCTGGATTACAGACATGCTTCATCATGTCCAGCTTCAAATTCTGTATTTTAGCAATTCTGTAGGATCATGAGTTTATATATGGAAAACGCAAGTCTTTTGGATTGTACTGACATCACGGTAAATAATATTAAAAACATCAATATATATATTTTAGAATGTGACAAGAACATTGGTTAAATAGACATTTGCAGTTTTATGTGTCTCTGCTGAGATTGACTTGGTTTCCTGAGTGGTGGGGGAGCTTGTTTCTTGGACCCATGCTTGCTTTAAGGAAGCTGTGGCCGTGGTGGCCATGGATCCCCTCTGTGGCTTGAGGTCACCATTCTCCCTGGCCTGGAGAGAAAGGGCTACTTTGTTCAGAAGGATTCTTGTATCCTGATGCTTGCCCTTCTCTCTGTCAGTGTGGCCATCTTACAGTGTGGAGTGAAACCTGGTTGACCTCACTCCACAAAAGCCAAGTCGTGCTGACCTCAGGTGAGGAAACTGGAAGCCTTTGCAAGAGCGTGTTCACAGTGTGAAGGTGAAGGTCCCCTGCGCCTGGGCAGTTCTGTCCTGAGAAACTGTGGAGGGAGATGCTGGCCTGAGTCCGTTGACCACCCTTCCTGGACTTCCATGACCCTACTTGAGAACAGGTGGGTCAGGTCAGGCTAAGAAGCCCCCAGCTTAGCCCAGGTCCGTGGGACACAGGAGAACCTAGAATTGGGCCACAGCAGCTGAAATTAGATCTTGACCTTGGCCAGAACATGAAGCCAAGATGCATTTATTCCACAAAATGATCTGATGAACAGGGACCAGCAGGTAAAGCAGGCACATTGCTGCTTTAGAGATCAAGGCAGCAGGAGGCCACAGCTCAGGCAAAGATGCAAGGGTTCCTTGGCAGTGGGACACATTTTGACTGAACTTTGTGTGAAGAAGTGTGTATGTATGTGAGGCTGTGTTTGTGATCAAGAGAGAGGGAGGGAGGGACTAAGGAAGGGAGAGAAAGAGAGAGATTACAGTGTGTAGTGGAATTCATCTGTGAGGGACTATGTGTGTTTGTGTGGGACTCAGTCTGTTGATGGAAAGTGTCTCAGGTACTATGTGTGTGAATGTGAAAGACTGTGTGAGTACTGATGTGTAAGTGTCCCAATGTCTAAGTGGTCATAGCTTTGGAGCATCCCCTGTAGAGGGAGGAGACTGCGTCAGGCTAGATGTGACCATGGTGCATTTGGAGGTGTTGCTGTTGTGATATCCCTGCTGACCACAGGGATCATAGTGGCTTTGCCCTTCTCTTTTGCTTTAGGTAAAGTGTGGCTTTGAGGGATATGAAGTGTGCATTCCCTGGACTTGGGGAAGGGATGGGCTAATGGTCTCACAAGGGCCACTGCCTAGCCCTGAGGTGTGTGGACCCTACAACCCTCTCTGGCCTCAGAGCCATGCAGGCACCTACCTTGGAGGTATGGCTGGTCACTATTTCAGCAGCCACCCAGGTACTGACATCATCTGCATTTCTTAAAAGCTGTAACAGGTACTTGTCCTGGACATAATTGGGCAGAAACAGGCTACAGGTTTTGGCAGACAGGGACTCAGAGGAGCTGGCTCTGGAAGATAAATGAAGTGTGTTATCAGCTGGGGATATGTAAAAGTGGCCCTGTCCAAACTTAGGGCCGTAGGGTTTCTGTGCAGACTGGGATGGAGTCAGGCACTCTTCCCTCAGGGAGAGACCTAGGCATCTCCCTCCAGCTGAGAGCATCCACAAGGCCCTTGGGGAAGCCTCCCAAAACCTTCCCACCAGCCCTCCAAACCAACAACTCCCTGGCTACCTTGGGAGTGAACTCACTTAGGAATGGCTGTGCTTTTGTCCATGACACCCAGGGCCCGTGAGTTTAGGAAGTGTACAGGGTGGCACTTTTGAAACAATTCCTGCCAGAGAAAAGGAGGTAGACAATCAGGTCACTGTCCCCAAGGACCTGGTGGCCACATCAGTGTCCTAAGGAGGGCCGAGCTGTTTTGGGGACCATTTTTGTAATAACAGGGCTTGGCCAGTAGGGTTTCCTATATACTTGACCCACCATGGCTGGTCACATTGGCTGGGCCTGATGGCAGCAGCACTGCTTGGTGCTGCTGTCACCTTCCTTGTGACATCAGGGCCCTGGATAGCAGGGGCCAGAGGGAGAGTTGGGCTGGACCCAGGCCAGCACAAGGGGCAATGCCCCAGCTTCAGCAGAGGGATGCCCAGAGGGCCACCTGGGTCCTGTGCAGTCAACAGGAGGATCGTGCTTGTCTGGAGCCCAGGTCTGCCCCTACTCAGGCCTCCTTAGTTTTTGCAATAGCTCCCTGGGACTGGTGCACCTGGAAACCAAGCTTCTCTGGTGGCCCATTGCTTTCTCCAGGCAGTGTCCACTAAGGTCTGTGATGCCAGAGTGTCCCTGGGCCTCCCCATGACACCTGCAGTTGGCCCAGGTAGGGGGTGTGGGGTCCTCTGTGCACTCCTGGTGCCCACAGCCTCCACGTACCTGCTGTAGCAGTGTCAGCTGAGTGAAAAGTTGATGTGTGCTGTACTCAGTCAGGAAATAGGGCCCCTTCTCGCTAGCTTTGGCATAGGGGCCATAGAAGTCTTCGAAGAAGCAGGGCTTGGGCAGGGCAGATGCGATGGTGTACTGGCGCTCCTTGTGGTGTGGCAGTGCCAGTCCATTGCCCCGGGGCAGCCTCCAGGGGAAGCTCTGCAGGTAAGCCAAGTCACCCTCCAAGTCAGGGTAGTGTAAGGTGAGGACAGGCTGAGTCCAGTCTAGGACTCTTTAGACTGGCTCAGCTACAGCCAGAGGGCAAGTCCTTCCTGCATATGCTTGATGGCACAAGGACAAGTGTCCCAGTCCTGTTGGTAGATCCCCCATGGACACAATTCCTGAGGTGTGGGGCCATCCCTATATATTAGTAGAAAGGTTATTCATTTCCTCACAGTGTATTCTTCTACCCACATTTCCCGCCCGAGGGGCAGGAAGATGAGTTCGGTGAGTTATAGGAGGACCTATCTTATGTGACCACCTGGGTAACCCCTCAGCTGTACTTCTTCAGGTCATGTAGGCCAGGAAGTGCCATTACAACAAGGACAGTACATGCATGGGACATGCATGGAGAGCGTGTCTACATGTACACATGTGTGTATGTCTGTTGGATCTGGGTGTGCATGCCTGTGTATGTGCACGGGTGTGCATGTGCATGAATGTGTATGTGTGTGCATGTGTATGCCGTCATCCAGAAGGAAATCAGGGAACTGCATCTGTCTGTCCATGAAAGCCCTCCTTTGGGAAAGGCCCACACCTTTCGGGGGATGCCATCCTCTGAGAACCTTTTGCAGAGGGCGTTGAAGGGTCTGGCATCCTCCTCAGCCTCCTTGGGGTCCTCCAGGTCTGCGCCTCGAGGGGTACCATCAGCCCTCCTGTCAGTGCCCAACTCCAGGAGGCCCAGCAGGTGCTCAGCAGAGCTGTCCAGGGGCAGAATCTAGGCAGAAGCATAGTGGTCACTGTCTCCTCTGGAGGAGGGCAGTGCCTCCCTCTGCAGGAACCTGGAGTGTAGCCAGGTTGGTCTAGGCAGCAGTCACCTTGGAAGAGATGAAGTCCTCGAGACGCCCCAGCAGCCCCGCGCTCCTTGTGAAGTCTACAGTGTAGCAGTCTTCCACCCAGGCCTGCAGGATGCAGAGGCTTCTCCTATAGATCTTGGTGAAGGTTGAGGCGGGGTCCTGGTGGACCCTGGAGGCAGACAGGTTGCCTCAGCCTGGGGCCACCCAGCCTGGATGTGTGGGGGTGAGGAGTGCATGGGGAAGTCTGGGGGTGATAAGCCAGATCAGAGCTCCCCAGTGGGCTCCCACTCCTCCTTTCAGCCCCTGCCCAGCAGCCCTAGGATGCCCTGGCCACCTGGGACCTCTTGGGTTCCTTTCCCTTTGCATTCACCTTGGCTCTACCACCCTTACCTTGACCCTTTCCAGTGAGGCACCACCTATGCCCTCCTCCCTGTTAGGCTCACCTGGGGCTGCTTCATCCTTCAGAGGGGTTAAACAAGGTGCCACGGGAGCCCACCCAACCTGAGTTAGGGCCCACACATGGGTGGTACCTGGACAGAGTGCTGCTAATGCGGTCTAGGAGGAAGTGCAGGAAGTCGTGCGGTGTGCAGAAGTAGCGGAAGGTGTACAGGAACTGCTGGACGTAGCCCTCGAGGAAGGCGTCACTGGGGGGATATTGGCAAGACCTTGGGCCTTGGACAAGCCTCCTGACCACCTGCCCTAGACTCACCTGTGTGTGTGTGTGTGTGTGTGTGTGTGTGTGTGTGTGTGTGTGTGTGTGAATTCTATGAGTAAGTACATAGATGCCTTTTGTTGGTAGAATCATGGGCAAGAGAGCCCCTGGGAAAGTAAAAGAGGTGTACTGATCACACTTGAAAGTTCGGTGACTAGAGTAAGAGGGCCCTTCCTAACACACTGTGACACCCTTCCTGATCTGCTTGTGCACCAGTAGAACTGTGGCGGCCAGCCCTTGGAGTTGTAGCCTGCATTCTGCAGGGAGAGGGCCGTCTGTGATTCATACACATTATATATCTACCACTCACATCACATACATCCTCACTCCCCACACACTATATGCTCCCACATACATGCACACCACACATGCATAACCACACACCACAAGTGACACCACACTGTACCCCCAACATGCCCCATGTATGTACCCATCACACATATGGTGCACCTACACAGTATACCCCATACATATGCACACTCCCTACAATCATACATTACACCACAACCCAATATATCACACATGTATACATGTACACCAGATTACAAAGTACTATATAATATCCCCCCACCATGCCCCACATGTGTGCATGCCACACATGCATACCACAAACATCACACATATGACCACATGCATGCACCTCCCCGATCATATGCATTTTACATGATACCCAATAGACCACACATACACACATGCATACCAGACTACACAATATAATAGCTCCACAACATGGGACACACAGGCACATCACATACATTATACATACCACATCACACAATGTCCCGATTTACCCCAGACCTACTACACACATGTGCCCATTACATGCACACACATCATACATCACACCTGTATGCATATACAGTCTCACATGTACTTGTCTCCCATGAGCCCAGAAACCCTATGGTGGACAAGGGAGCCATCTTATAGGTGAGGAAACTGTAACCCTAGTCTGAAGGTTCCTGGCAGGCAGGGGGTTCCAGCATAGCCAGATGTGGCCCACCTTAGGAGTATGCGGTTGGTGGGGAGGAGGTAGCAGCCTCAGGAGGACTGAGCCTTTATAGAGGGGACCTTGTTCCCTGGTGGTCCTCCCTGAACCCTGCTCATATCTGCTGATCAGATCTGAGTGACCACAATCTATTCCTCAAGGGACCCCAGGGCTCCACGATGGTGTAAAGCCTGGGGGAGGAGGCCTCCACCACTGATTTGGAAAGGCAAAGGTGGTCTTTGGTCTCAGAACAGGTGTAGGTTAGACCATCAAGTGAAAAGAGGTGCTCCAGGGCAGAGAGGCCGGAAGGTCAAAGGGTGCTAGGTAGGATGAAGGAGACAGGTTCAAGATCCCAGCCTTGGGAGTGACCTTGTGCAGAGGTAAGGGGATTCCAGGGTTCTTCCCTGCTACACAGCAAGAAAGCCCATTAACATTTATCACCAGGGATATTGGACACACCAAAATAGTGTTCGCACTAGAGAGTCAGAGGCCACAGAAATACTCCCAATGAATGCATTAAGCCCAAGAACCTGATAGCTAATTATGAGGGGTTTTGACTTGATGAATGCAATGGAACCCAGGCCATGTCTCAGAGACTCCTGGGGGTGTCCGCATTGGAAGTCCATAGGTATAATTGTGCAGGGCATTTCGCAGCTTTCCCACAATGTCCACTAGCATACCCTGAGACATAGCACCCGGCCTGTGGCTGAGGCCACTCAGGCCAGCAGATCAGCCACGTAGCAGGTGACAGCTAACATCAAGCAACTTCAAAGTCTGACTAAACATTTTTCTAAATTAAAAGCCGATACAACCCATCCTAAATGGGGGCCTCTTTCCCTTTTCCTGAATAAACTTTTCTCCCTTTTGCTCTCAGAATCTCATGGCCCATGGGTTACAGGATACTGCCCTGGCTCCTGGACACACCTGGAATAGAGGTAGGCCATGAGTCCCAGTGGTGTGCCAGCCTGTAGGACGCGAGCCTTCTTTTGCCGGCCCCCACACGGATGCTTGTTGACATTGTAGAAGATGAGGGAGGAGGACTCATCCAGGGGGCTGAAGTCTAGTGTGTCACAGGGGGCTGCTGCGATGTTCACGATCACTGGCAGGGCACAGGGCTCCAGGCCCCAGCGCTCAGCGTACATGACCTGGAGGTGGGGGTGGAGGGGCAAGTCATGGCCGCTGGCCAATGTATGTAGGTTGAGAGTACTCAGTCATCCAGACCCGGACCCCTGAGATGGCAGGGCTTCTTGTACATTTGGCCCCTCACACAGGGTCTGTGTTTATGACCAAACATAGGTAGATCCACAGTGTTGATGGTAGGGAACCCATCTGAGTGTTACTTGTCCGGGAGGGGAACAGATGGGCTGCCACTTGCCTGCAGGTACTTCTTGACCAGGCCGAGGAACTGAACTTTGGACTTCATCTCCTCCAGCTGCCCTCTCAGCTTGGACAGCATGGTCTTCACCTCAGAGCCTGTGGGCAGAGCAGAGTTGGCACAAGGCAGCCCCCCTGAGCCACTGTGGTGGCCTTGCCTGTGGCATCTGTGCAGGGTTACCTTTGTTGCGCTTTTCCTTCTGTAAAAGTTTCTGGTAGAACTTCAGAGTCTTCCGGTAGTTTCTTTTCTCTATCATGAGCTGCTGTTCTAGCTCCTAAGAGGAAGCACAGTAGGTGAGATCAGGGCAGTCATGGCCTCAGGCACAATTTGGAGGGTCTGCAAAAGGCTAGGATTTCCCTGATGAGAATCCAGATGTAGCCTTTTCCTTCAAGAGAAGGTAAACACAGTCTCCATGACTGCACCCAGGTGGCTGTGAGCCAGCTGAAGATAGGAAGTGAGCTGGGTGGGATGTGCATGCAGCCCTGGGGGCCTCTGGAAGCTAGAATCCCAGGGAGTCTTTGGCTAGTCTGTTTCCACAGGAGGAGGACGGGATATGGTCCACAGTGAGGAACTAGGCTGGGGACAGGCAGATGCCTGGCCAGTGTCCACTTGGGTTCCTTAGTAAACTACTTCCAATGGTGAGGGTTCAGGCAGAGTTATGGCCCTGAGCCAGGTTAATAGCCAGGTGTGGCCAGTGCCCCTTGGTGATGGCAGCAGCTCAAGACTAGGCACTACTTCCCCTAAACTCGTGGTTCTGCAGTTAACTGGGTGAACTGCTCAGAAAAAGGAAAAATAGGCAGTTTTTTAATTTACATATTTGGATGCCTTCTATCTGGCAGTCTAGTGGCTGTCTTCCATCACACATTGTGTTGGCTGGCAGCGATGGTAGAAGGCAGCCAGTCCCATGCCAGTTTGTGTTGCTAGGTACCGGGCAGCTGAAGAGGTTGAATCCAAAGTAGAATCCAGTCTTCCCAAGAAGTCAGGTCTTGCAAGACCTCTGAATCCTCCTCCAGTTCAGCTGTGGTGCACCTGGGACAGTGTTTTTCCACAGAAATAAACTGGTAAAAACCAATCTTCTTTCTGCCTTTTTTTTTTTTTTTTTTTTTTTTTATTTTT